GCGTAATACTTGAGTAATTTTGTTATAAACTTATGTCTTTTTACTATGAAACTGTCTATGCTGATAAAGTTTGTCATGTAGCCCTTTATAGTATACTTATTATACTGTAAATGCAGCCGCGCCAAGCGGAGATCGCACCTAGCTCATTCTACTACGATTGTAGAAGTTCTATGCTTTTTCGGTATTAGACTCTTGCAACAGACCTTTTCATGCTGATCGTTCTGTCCTTATCTACACTGTTAGAAAAATCTGTATTAGATTTAATATACATGCGTATGAAGCGAATATGCACTACAGGTATTGAAATCTAAGATACATGTATATTAAATTTAAAGTGACAACATGGCGGCTGTAGATGCCTATTTCACCAAACGGTCATTATTTCCTTGATATTGAAAATTTATTTGAAATTGAAACAACAGTGCGTAATTCTTTAACTATTGTGTTGTTTATGTCCAAATAATGTTTTATAAGGGGAAAATTTTTCAAAAAAAACATTCTAAATACAAGAATTTTAATACTTATATGTGCCATTTAGGTTAAGTACTATAAATGTCAAATTATATGCATTTTTACAATGTAAATTGATTTAAACTTGTATTTACATGAAAGAAATTACTTTGCTTTATTAATAAAAACCTTATTTTGTACACAAGAACATGTATAAATTGAGTAAAATGCAATTTTTTTATTTGAATTTTTTTCAGTGACAAAATTTAATATACTTTGTATATGAATTACACTCTAATATACCAGTTTCTTAAATTGAAGTACTTTATGTATATTAAAACTACAAACATTTTTAACAGTGTAGCGCATATTATGACGCATGAGTTAAAAGAGGACAGAATGACCAGCATGAAATGGTCTACTTGCGAGTAGGTAGGCGTGGCCTAATCGTCAATTGCAAGGGTCCAATACCGAAAAAGCATAGAACTTTTTGGAACTTCTGCAATCGTAGTAGGATGAGCTAAGTGCGATCTCCGCTTGGCGTTCTTGCTATTATAACACATTTTTCTTACAATAAAAGCATATATACTATGTATCTTTAGTATGGACAAATATTTATACTAAAAATTCTCAAATATTTGCTCCATTAGTAAGAAAAGTTCATACAAAAGTAGCAGAATAGTCTTTCATACTATAAAGCCTTGATTTTTCTCTCCGTGTGGAAGTAAGAAAAGTATTGTTTAACTTATGCGCATCTTTGGCAACTATGTTGATTTTGTTTGCCTCACTGAATAATTAGCTGTTAGTAATTTGGTGCTTTGGCATCAATTACGTGCAAGTTTTCATGTTTACACTTTTTGGTCTATTTTTTGCATTTTTAAAGATATCGATACATATTTTTTTTAAAATGATCCAAATTCAATCTCAAAAATCCAGCAGCCTCCAACGGGGGCGGCCACATTCTCATCACGCGCTTCGCGCGTAGGAGCTCGCTTCGCTCGCATAATTGAGCGCGCCCCGGGGCGCGTGTAGGACGATCGTCCCGCTTCGCGGTTCGATATTGATGCGCGCTTTGCGCGCATTTTCTTACGTTGCGCTACACGCTCCGTTTGTCTTTTACAATTAAATAACCTAGTATCATTAATTACTTTTTATCTAAATTGTATAGTTCAAAAATTCATGAATTTCATTTAAAACTTGTATTAATTATTCTATCAGAAAGTACTTGAATGACCCAAGAATCAGTTTGGTAGAATGAGATTTTGTAGTAGTTTCAGATTTTTTAGTTCATTTAACTAAATATTGAAGTGATACGTGTAATAGAAAGAAATTTTTTTTATTAATTTTATTAAAAAGTGTAAATTTAATTACACACAGAGTTTAAATAAGTACAAAAGTAGTTACTTTAAGGTGGAAACTTTATGTAAATGACCTGTTTTGTGTAATTTATTAGGAAGAACTAGTATTTTATATTAAAATGCGCTAAATTAAATTATACAAATAGGTAAGGTTTGAAGGTATTAGAATAAATTTTTTATCGAGAAAAAAAAGGGCGGCACTGCAGCTGTTCAGACTTAGTTCGTTAATTTTGCGCCGTTGATTGGCCAGTTCTTTGTAATTAACGAAATCAACAAACCCAGATTATTTATTAAAATAAGTTATTCCTCTTCAAATTAATTTCTATTGAGTAAACGAATAAATTAATTGAAAATTTTAAAACATTTTAAAAAAATAACTTTATAGTAAATCAACTTTTAAAGCACCAACAAAATTTAATTTTATAGGAGGTATCGCCCTTTTTTTTAATTCCTAAAAAATTTGTGTACAATGGATGTAAGTGAAATTTTTTAAACATTTAATTTTCTTAAAGTACTTTGACTTTAAGGATAACATTCTCATCACGGCACTCGCGTTTCACGCTCGAAAATTAGAAAAAAGCGATAGCAAAACTTGCAGATTTAGAGGAATTATTACACAGAAAAAACTTGGACTCATTTTTGTTGCAACTCATTTTCTTTTGGGTATCGAAATGAGTATGGGACAAACTTCATGTTATTCAAAATGATATTGGCTGGAATTTCAGATTTCTAAGTTGGCATCATAAGCAGAGTAATTTTGTATTTCAATTATTGTTTCTAATATTTCAACAACACCAGAAAGATTATTTTGACCAGTACGAATATTTAGAAGTTTTTAAATAAAAATTATTTATTATTATTTACGTAGATAATAATTAATTTCATAAGTTTTTAAATTTACCGCTATTATTTAAGTTGGCAGTACCGTTCCTGTTGTCAAAACACATGTTTTCATTTTTCTAACCTAAAAACATATTTCCTTTATTATTTTATTACGCGATTACAAGCAATTTTTAATCAAATATATTAAGTCTAGCGTGTTATTTACTTCTTTGTAATTATTATATTTCATGTTTTTGTGCAAAATTATTCGTTATTTCACAATATTTTTCCATTTTTCTTTTTCTCAAAATGAAACTTGCCTGTTTCATTTTGATACTTTTACCTTAGAACTCGAAATGAGACAACCAGTTTCATTTTTGTTGCGAATCAAATTGAGTATAGAATCTATACTCAATTTGAATTCAGGTTTTTTCTGTGTAAAGAAAATTCAAAATAGCATAAATCTAATCTTAAAGAGAAAAAAAATTCTTGATAATGCTGTTATCATGTCGAAATTTTTGGGGTGCATGAGGCCAATGGTGTTTGCCAATATTGCACCATTATAAGAACATTAATCTAAATTTTCTTCATTAAAATACCAATCTTTTATTTACGACGTGACAATATTAAACAAAAAAGGTTCAAAAAAATAGTTTAATCGATATACACCTTCACTTTACATACAATATAACTGAGCTAGGTATGATAGTTAAAATGTTGTACATAGAATTTTAATCCGAAAATTTTGATACATTTTAACGAAATTTGGATAATTTTATTGTTTTTTTGACGAAATCACCTGGCCATCGAACTCAGGCGACATTTTGGTACACTTAAAGTATATACCAAATTTGAAGTCGATTCATTAAAATTTATTCAAGTTATCGTCGGACCAAATTTTGTCTACAGACAGACATTTTTTTAGGACCCATTTTTTCGGCATCAGAAAGTCTCAAAACGTCAAGATTTACTGGAATTAGAGAATGCTTAAAATCGCCCAAATGTAATACCTTCTCATTATGATGAGAATGTAAAAATAAATTTTTATTAAAAATTTAAAAAAAACAAAAAATTCGGTATTTTATGAGTAAGTTACTTTAATTTATGTTAATTTAAGGTGGTTTAAAGAGAAATAATACATATTTGAACACATTTTTTCAAAATAAAGTAATTTTGCCCTGCATTTTACCCATTTTTCATCCGTTTTTGTCATTTTTTGTCTTTTTTTAAAAAAGTGGTATAACTTTTTTGTTTTAATCGCTATTAAAAATTGTCAAAGGAAAAAAGTGTTTATTTTTAGTCGTAATTTTCGAAAAAAAAATTGAAAAAATTTTTTTTTTGAAAAATGCGAATTTTAGAATTTTTTAAAAACTAAAAATTTGAATTATTTTGTTGTTTTTCAACGAAATCATGTGGCCAATGAACTCAGGCGAGATTTTGGTACACTTAAGGTGTATACCAAATTTGAAGTCGATTCATTAAAATTTGTTCGAGTTATCGTCGGACCAAATTTTGTCTACAGACATACAGACAGACAGACATTTTTTTAGGACCCATTTTTTCGGCATCAGAAAGTCTCAAAACGTCGAGATTTACTAAAATTAGAGAATGCTCAAAATCGCCCAAATGTAATACCTTCTCATTATGATGAGAATGTAAAAAGGAAAGGAAAATGCAATAAATTTCTGACATTGTAAATACATATAAAAAAATTTTATTCTTCTTTAAATACCATTTTTTAAAAAAAAGTAACAACTCAATCCTATTTAATAAAAGAAATTATTAAAACACTAATATCACCTTTTTTAATTATTAATAACTTTTTACAAAAAAAAATTTTAAAACTTTATTAATAAATTTTTAGATAAAAAAACTATTGAGACCCTGATCAGAGCCCCATTTTGAACTTAGTGAATACCCTATTTGGGGTTTCGATAGGGAATTCTACTCAAACCCCCAAAATCAAAAAAATATAAAGCCGCCAGTATACTGTAAAAAAAGGAATTGAATTTCAACTCCCTAGGGAATGCTATAAAAGTCCCACTCTTTTGGAGTTGAAGTGAAGGGAGATAATGTTTTACAAGTTAATTTTATGCCTAGGGAGTTAGTTGTAGTTAATTTAATTAATAACTCCCTTTTTGAGTTGATTTTTAAGTCGAAAAATTTAACTCCCAGTGCTGTTAACTCCTTAATTTTTTTACAGTGTATAAATGATCCGTTTCAATGATAATAACTTCTTTTTTAAAAAGTAATTTTAAAACCTTTTTTTATTTACATTCTCTTTAAACAGGAAAAACTGGTGACGAACCCTACTTTAAATTGGACAAAATGGAGCAATTAGTGCACGGGAACATGTATGACAAAGCAACAAATGCCCGTAAGTACCAATGTTTAAATGTTTAAAAACTAAATCGATCGTAACTTTTTCACAAGTACCTACAGATCTCCAAAATTTAACTATATTTCTCTGTATAAGCTTTATCTATACAAGTACACCAAATTTTATTAAAATCTTGATATTAATTCTCTTTACAATAGAATCTCCTTAACCTGTCTCGCAATGTTGCACACACTTTCGTATCTTCTAATTCTTTTCCGTATAACAATAATATAAAATAAATTTTTTTTCCAAAAATTTAAAGATTTGAATAAAACTTTGTCTCTGTTGAAAATAGTTCATGAAGCCTTTTTGACATTTGCAGCATTCTTGTTTCTGTTGGACTATCATAATCCTTCATTTTCAGAATCATCACTTCTTTATTGTGAATTTTTTTAAAACGAATATCTTCAACTAAGAATTCAAATTTTGAAGTAATTACATATGATAAATTTTCATCATTTAAAATACGATCAAAGTCAGCAACGCCTGCCTGATTCTTTAAAGAAAGTTCCATTAAAAATCGAGTTTCAGGAAAAGTTTTTGCTTGATTAAGAAATTTTGCCTCTTCCGTAGTTCGACTTACAGAAAACTTCATTAATTGATTAAATGAAATAATTGTTTTCTTTTGTAGTGAATCAAAAATTTTTCCTGTCATTTCTCTATTAAAAATTCCACTACTAAAGAGTTTAATTGGTCTTACAAGATTATTACATTGTCTAAGTGCAACTCGATTTATTGCAGCTTCAAATCGATTCATTCCATCTTTATTCATGACGAGGGTTTTCTTTATGTAAGAATATAATGCATAATAATCCTCAAATCGAATATGCATTTCAATATTTCTCTTTCTTTTATAATTATCAAATACCTCTTCTACATTTTGAAAATAAACAGAATCATATAAATAATTAATTTTTCGTTGTGCTTCAGACAAACCAACAGTTTCATCTATAATATAATCATATAACACATCATAAGTGTAACGATGGTAGTCTATTTTCCAATTTTCAAAAGAATTTACAATTTTCATATTTTTCATTTGCTCGGCAAACATAGCGTAAGTTGGAACACGACTTCCAGTAACTTGAAATGGATTTAAAATGTAATTTGAAAAAAAATTCTTTGTTAATTTAAAAGTGCACAAAGGTGCATTTTCTGTCATAAAATTTGCAGCTCTATTAATACTTTGCATTCTAGGAGATTCTACAATTTTATCTTCCTGAAACAAATTTTTAATATCTTGCTCTCTTAACTTCCGCCAGTCATCAATCGATACATCTTTATACTTCAACTCAATGTTTAAAATTTTATTATGTTCAGTAAAAAATGTGTCCGTTACTGTAAAAAACACGTCATTGAATGTGATATAATCATCTTGAAATGCAAAATGAAAATTAGATAAATCTACAAATCCATATGGAGAATTAATAGTTATGTGATATCGTACTTCTACTGAGAAAGAAAATTGATCAATAGGTACTAACACACCTGGTGGTTTATTTCTTAACAGAGTAATATCATTAAAGAAAAATGTGTGTCCTTTCAAATTTCTCAAAAAATCAATTTTCCTTTGTCCTTTTACAATTTCAGTATACCATAATTTTTTTGGTATTTGTAGAGGAAAATTTTCATTCAATTGAATGAGGGCTAATTTATTTAAAACAGTACGTAAGAAATTTACTTTTGCTGTAACTTTCTTCACATAGGACAAACCATTATTTTTCAACTTTATTAAAATTTCTACATATTTTGAATACATTGAAACTCCTATAATTTTTCTATAAATTCTTGGACCTTTTATGATATTTTCATTAGGTAATGGATTTGAATGTTCTACAAATTGTTGTAATCTCCCAATAACATTATTTTTTTGTATATTATCTTGTACAGAGGTTTCTGAATCTTTTAATATTAAATCTTTTCTTGTCAATCCTTCTGGGATATTTTTATCAAATTTTTTGTGACGATATTCGGGAAAAGTTTCTAAATCTTCTATTCTTCTGATCTTCTGCGGAATATTTGAATCTGCTTCTAGTGGAAGGTTTTCATTTATTGAGGTCCCTGAAATTTCTGGATTAAATGACTTAGAAAAATCAGTATTAGCATGAAGAAATTTTATGATTGAAGGTGCTTTCTCTCCAGTGTTTAAATGATTTTTTAAAGACATAGACTGTAATGGATTATTATTAATGGATTGTGGAGAATTGTATTCGGGTTTTACTATTCCTTTTGATGTAGATGGGAGTTCGAAATTCATGGACAGAGGAAAATTGGGACCTGCTATATTTCCCCTTAATGTAGTGACAAATTCGACGTTCGTAATTTGAGGAAAATTATGAGTTTCTACGTTACCTCTTAAAGTAACTTGAAATTCAGAGTTGGGTGTATTAGGATAATTATAATTTGCTGTGTTTCCAGATTGAAATTGAGGATTAGGAAATTGTTGTAAATTAGGTTGTTGCACTATATTTTGTCTTGCATTCACGGGAAATTGAAGTAATTCCCAAAATGTAGGTGGCCTTTCTGCAGGTGGATTTACGTTTGCAGACGGATTTTCATTAGCAGGAATTTGATTTCTTGTATTATGATACACATGATAATTATGAATTCTATTTATATTATATCCTTCAGTTGCCATTTCGTATAACAGATACCCAACTCGATGAAGAATATCGTTGTTATTTTTTTGGAGTTTAGTGTTAATGATTTTACCATTTTTTGGAATGTATTGTTTGTAGGAAATCTCTCCAGGTGAATTGACTTGTATAACTGGAATTTGAAATGGATATTCCTCGATGCTTCTTAATTCGGCAATTATTCCTAATGATTCTACACATGTAGGTCCAAAAAAATTCGACCCACCAGGATAAAAGTATTTAACAACGTTATAATCATTCAATTCAGCTAAAACCATTGGGACTAATCCTGTCCGATATGTTGGTAAATTCATATTTTGTTTTACACTCTTTAATAAAGATTTTAATAACAAAATACTGTTTTTAAGTGAGGGAATGCTTTTAAAACTTGAAATCATATTTTGAAATAGTTTGCCAAGTACTTGAGAACCAAATCGGCCTACATGATAAAATATTTCAAATCCAGGATCCAATGTTTGAAGAGAGGCTACAGCTAAATCTTTGAAGAAGCTTTTAGTGATAATTTCTCTTCCGATTGTTCGAATAGCTGTTTGTGAAATTTGGTTCAACATTGTTAGTTTTGAAAATTTATGAATATTCCCTGCTCTTGCAAGAGTATTAGTGATTAAGTGCATTTTACCAAATTGTATTGAAAAGCTACTGCTTAGTTTCATTGCATATTTTGTTACCAAATTTGCTATTGGTAACAGACTGAGAACATCTAAGGTACAGCTAAATGCGGATTCAACTATGTTTCCTGCTTTGACATCTTCAATGCAACTATAAAATGGAATAAGACATTTTAAAACATTTAGAAATTTCTCACCAATTGTTTCGTCATAATAATAATTTTTCAGTTTATTTATAAATTGTGTTGTCTTTATATCCGCAACTCTATTAATAAATCCTCTGTGATCTTCATTATCTTGTTTAAGAGTCTTGGAAAATATTGCAATTTCCATTATTAAAGAGGAATCATTGGCAACTGCTTTGGCAAATTCCTTTTCGTTATCATTGTTTTTAAGTAAACTCAGAATATTATCATCTTGTTTAAGGGCGTAAAATGATTTTTTATTTTCTTCTTTTATAGCAAACAGAAGATATATTCCGTCGTTTGCCTTTCGAGGGGTAGGTGAACAGTATGTACAACGCTGTGGATAGGTCGGAACTTCAGCGAGCATAACAGTTGCATTTGAATTCATTTTTTTCATTAATTTACCATCGATTATAACTTGTTTAATTGCATCCCTCTCAATTGCATGGTACAACTTTTGTATACTCGTGAATTGATCCTGATATCGTTGTTCTAATTCGGGTAAATCGTATTCTAGGCAACGTTTGGGAAGAACTAATTTTAGTGTCCAATGGTATAGGGTTTTATACATTTCTATATCAACTGATGAGACTTGTTGATAATTCTCATAATCGCAATATGCTTTAAGAATATCTATGGCAATGAGAGTCCGACTTTTTATAGCACTGATTTTATTTTCAAGTTTATAATGTAGACTGTTAATAATATCTTTTTGTACAATTTGAAGCATTGTTGAACTAATGTGTGAAAATAAAAATTCATAAGCTTCAATCCAAAATTCATTATTTTGAGTAAGATGATCTATTTTTTGGAATTTGTCCTTTTGATGATAGGCGTAAAAAAATAAAGCAGGGGTTGAGAATAATTTTAATACCATTTCATAGGTTTGATTATTGAAATCCTGTAAATCAAGCTCCCGTGCGATTAGAACATAGTCGCGAAACGTAAGATTGGTAATATCTGATGAAACAGATCTAACAATTTTTAAACCTACCATTGCGTATATGTAATTCACTTCCATAATGCTCATTTCTTGTTCGGGTTGGGGAAAAACTGGCCAAATGTGATCATCAAAAACTTTTTTAATTGTCAGTGGAGTTAGTTTATAATTGTTATCATCTGGCGAACAATAGTCCCTACTTATGTTATTTTGAGATAGACTTTCTTGTACATTTTTTTTAAGTGCTGAGAAATTTACATTATTTGCCTTATTTATTATTTGAGCTAAAAATCCATTAATGTTGCCGTATTGGGAAAATAGAGCAGTGCTAATGATGTACTGATAGGTTTCAATTACATATTTCATGTCAAGTGTTTCATTTTCTTCGCCACCATAGAGATCACTTCCTTTTAGTACTTTTTTGAGAAGTTTAAGTTTCACCTCGTATTCGTTGTCGAATTTATTGAGATATTCAAACAATGTATTCAAAACAGGAATAGTCTGATTTCTCTCATCAAGTGTAATTAAATCATTGTTGTAGAAATAAATGCCAAAAATATTAATGTAATGACAAACAGAAAGAAACTGAAAGTTTGATGACTGTTGAATGAAGATTGACGCGCTGTTCATTGTAAATTGATGTTTAATTTCGATTGATGATTCTGAAACTGATAATTTGTTTTTTTTATAATTTTGATGAAAGAAAACAGTAATAACATTTCTATAAATTGTTTTTTATTTTTAGATATTCAAAAACAGTTTATATTACCTTGAAATATAGTTTTTGGATAAACTTCCGATTAGCACATACCTCTACCCTAAATTTTTTTTATGTAATTTAAATTTATTTATGAAATAAATGTAAATTATAGTTTGAAAAAGTTCTTCTTTAAAAAAAGAGGAACGATTCAAATAATAATATTAACTTTTTTTTAAATTTTACCATGTATTATTTTTTTTCTTATTTTGCTACACTAGAATATACTTTTATAAAAAAATTACAATTTTTTTTTACTTTTGACTATCGTTATTATTCTATAGTGAAGAGAGGAACTCATATAGTTTTTCTTTTTTTTATAGGAATGCTGTATAATGCAATGTTTTTTTTTGTATGTTCAGTTGTGCAATGTTTAATATTTATTGATGTCTAAATATTATATCAAAAATATGTTTAGTACAGGGTGGATAAAAATTTTTTTTTAAGTTTACAATGTAAAATAAATACTTTTATTTGAAATTTATCTTAGATAACCATTTCAACATTTCTATTATTTAAAATAATCGTGAATAAATTAAATGAAGAACGAAATTGTGAAACAAACATTTAAAAATGAAATAAAAAATTCTGTTAAAATTTTCATTTTTAAATAGATTTAATGTCTTGTATCTAATTTAAACATTTGTCCTTTGTTCACAATTTGTACCTATCTAAAATTGTAACAAATACAAAAAAATAGCATTGGTAAAAATGACTAAAAATGTGTAGTTAAAAAAGCAGTTAAAAGTACCATATTTAGAACCATTTTAACTAAACTTAGACAGTGGTGGTATGCCTATTTTCAACAGCATAAAAATTTAAATATATTGAATTTATTTTTATTTCAAAAAAAGAACAATTTTTTATAATTAAAGGTAATTTTTCTTACTTACGGGTCTTTTTTTTAATATTTCTTTTATTATATATATATAACAAAAATTTTGCGAAAAATTTTACATTAGACTAATATAGAAATTTATAGAAAACTTTTTACTCGGGGAACTTTGGAATCATTTCTTTTAAATTCAAGACGGCAAAACCAGTATTATGAACTGATAACAGATATGGATGGAATTTCCTTGTAATAAAATTTAATCATCAGTATATGTATTTTATCAAGAGAAAAAAAAACTTTTACAGATAGAATAAAAAGTATAGTAGCACACATATTTAAAATTTTAAATATATTTAAGACAATAATGAAAATTTCCAATCATGATTAGTCAGGAAATTCTGAATTAAAGTGAAGCATATAAAAGTATGTTTCTCGATGATCATGAATATAGTCATCATTCGACAACTAACAAAATGAAGATCACACTTGTAAGTAATAGTTAACAACAGTTTTCATTTTTTCTTGAAATATTTAAAAAATATTATAATTTTCAGTATCAACACTTTTATTTATATTTGAGGTTCTTTATTTATTGTTTTTATACAGATATTTGCTCTAGCCTTTTTCGCTATTGCTACTGTCAGTTCAGTTAATTCAACCAATGAAGTAGAGGGTAAATTGCATCCATCTGATGAACAAATTGCGACACACGATGATTTAGTTAGAATGAAAGAATTCATAGGAATGCGAAATAGAAGGAGGTATCCCTTCATGCAACCATATATTGCAACTGGTGGCAATGGTATATAATTTCTCCCTAAAAAAATTAAATTTTCATAATATTTCCTATTACTTAAAATTAAAACAAATTTTTGCTTTCAATTTTAGTGCTATTAATTAGCATTACGTATTACCTTTATTATGTGTATAATTATTCTAATAATTTATTATAATTATAAATATATAATAATTATTAATTTTATTTTTATATATTTTTTAGGGCGTAGACGTAGAAAGTATCAACCATTAAATACAGAGGAAATTGATAAATCTGAGACAAGCAAATTAAATATTAATAATATTGAAATTACTAATAATTAAAACAAATCTTTCTTTGTAATTTTATTGTTATATTAATTGTCATTAAATTATACATTTATATTCATATATTTATAACTCGCAAAGGAAAAATTGTGTATAATTAAGCATGTTTTTAATATTAAAATATAAGACAATTATATTAAAATTTACTGAATTATTCATTTTATTACATTACCCTCTATAATATTTGTGTAAATAAAAAAAAATCACTTTTGAGTGTTGTATGCTTATGTAGATGCGTAAAACGTTAATTTTTTATGTTATGTAATTAATTGAAAATTAAACGAACAATCCTTAATTACTCTCTAAATTTGAATCAGCGATAAGTATACCACTGTTACCAATTAGCGTATATACGCTGAAAAATTAGTGAATTTCACTAACAATATGTAAAGTAAATTCCAATGCGAAATTAATCACTTTACGTACTAAACATTACTTTAGACACTGAAATTTACTTATCATTCAAATGATAATGACTAATGAATATAAATTTAGAGTTCAAAATAAAATTTTTGAGTAATAAAATTGCAATTTCTTTTGAATTTTTCCAAAATGTTAATAAAGTTAATTTTTATGTCCATTTTAGAGTTAAAAATATTATTTTTAAGTATTAAAATTTTGGTTTTTTCAAAAAAAATCTTTTTTGTTAAAATTTTGGGTAATTATGCAATTAAGGGGCTCCTGTCATATCTAGAAATATACAGCTTTTCAGAAACAAAAAAGTTTTATATGTTACGTAATTTACGTTATTTGCGTTAGTTACGTCACTTATGGTGCTTTTCTATCTAGTTACTTGTAAAATAAATAAAATCACAAAAAAAAACCATCTGAAAAGCTGTACGTCTCTAAATTTGACAGAAGCCCCTTAACTGCAGAACAGTGTATATTACGTAATTAACGTTATTGGCGTAATTAATGTCTCTTATCATGCTGCCCCTTCTAGTCACATAATAAAAAGGAAATTTAAAAAAAAAATAAAAGTATCAGTTTATTCTGCAAATGTGTAACGAAAGAATTCAATGATTCATTGGATAAATTCTGTCGCCGCCAGATGGCAGAAGCATCCAGGGAGCACAAAATTGCAACTGTATTTATATATTTAAAAAACACACTATTTTCAATCAAACGAATTAGACTTTTTATTGAATACAGATACGATTAAAAATTCCAATCTTTTAAAATTAAAGTAACAAATTCATTCTATCAAGATCCAATCTGTTTTCTTCGATTGGACTATCTAACATTTTTTTTACAGGGAAACTCTCATTAATTGTTAAACCTCTTTCTAAAGGAATTTCAAATATGTTGTTTTAGATTAACATTTATTATAAATACTGTGATTAGTTTAAATGTCCTTAAATCATTTCTCTTTTTCCAAAATTATATTCTACAAAAATTGACACTCTTATTAAAAAATTAATAAATTTCGACGGTAATTGATATGTTAACAAATAGAGTGAAAGATGAAATTTTAGTAAATAAAAAATTACATTTGTCATACAATTATTGAAATTCTATGAACTTATTATTGAAATTCCCATTTAGTAGAAAAAATTTTCGACAAATATGTGATTAGGAATTTAAAAAAAATCGAACAAAATAATTGACTCACTTTGAAAATTTTTATAAATTTATATAAATTATTTATTTGCAATACTAACATTAATAATAATAATAATAATAATAATAATAATAATAATTTAATAATAAATTACATATTAAAATTAGACTAAACTTTAAACTAACTAGATATTCTTTTTACAATTAAACCAATTTTTTCGTATCATTTTTATTTGAATAAATGTGGTTGCTGTCGGCATCTTCTTGAACCATATTGTATTCCGTGAAATATGCTTGGCAGGTACATTTCAGGTTGACTCAATTGAAATCTCAGTTGTATTAATTCCACTGTCTTGTGCATTTGAAGAAAATGATTAACGTTTTGAATATGGATATTGAGATAGATTTTGCATTTCTATATGAAATCTTTATTGTTGACTCAATTAAACTCTCAGGTGTATTAATTCCACTATTTTATGCATCTGATGAAAATTATCCAAAACTTGGATATAAACTTAGAGACTCAGAATTAAAATAATTTGGATATTGAGAGTGATATTTATAAGAAAATTGACATCTCCTTCTTTCGTTTGAAAATATTGGACTTACTGTAGCAATAATCAAAATAGAAAGTGCGAATATCTGTATAAAAACAATAAGAAAATTATGTCATATATATATAAATAAAACTGTTGGAAAATTGACAGTAGTATAGTCTTCCGGTTATAAATTAGACGGGAATTCTATTCAGAAAATGCGTGAAAGGTCAATCAAATTTGCGGGAGGATGAGAAAAGAGATGGCAGTTCTTGATTAGACTTTGACGATGGCACAAGTGCGTCATAAAATATTGTAACTGAAGTTTAAAATAATAAAATGTATTAATTTGTAAAGCATTCGATTTTTAGTTGTTTAGTATTTTTATTTATTTACTGCAGTTCCTTATTTTGTTTCAATGATATGGCAAATGCCATATCATCCAAAATTGTGGATGCAGTTTGAATAATATATTTTAATTTGTGCACCGAAAGAAAATCAATGGTTGTGATAGCCATAAAAATATTTTTGTGCATAATATTGTTGTGTCATCCATTTAAATAGTAAAGGCAACTTTTAGTATAGAAGTAGATTCAACATGCAATGATTGTGTAAAGACCTGAGCAGAATAGAAACGTAACCGTAATCGGAAACGCAACCGGAAGAATGAGTTAGAGAAGGATAGACATATAGTTTGTCCTTCTCTAACTCATTCTTCCGGTTGCGTTTGCGATTTCGATTGAGTGTCTATTCTGCTCAGGCCTTAATTCATATTCCATTCGGGTACAAAAGGTAAAGGAACAATTTATATTTGCACTAAAGATTTTTTAATTTCAAGAAGACTTGTTCTAAATAATTTTTAAACATCACTTTGGAGTGTTTACACTATAAATCTGCGTTTTAAAATTATTTTCTTTTTAAAGAGAAATTTCCTGAATTGAATTAAGATTATAAAATTTATAAATAAACTTGAAAGTATTATGAATAAAGAATTTCTTAATTGGTCGTATATGATAATTTAAAAATGATAAAAATATGTATTTATCTTTTAATATACATGCATGTTAATAGTTTTTAATTTATCGTACGAACAAATAAGAAATTAAAAAAATATATATTTTAATGTTCATTTATGATAACAAAATAAATTCATAATGAAATCTATTTAGGGAAATATAAGATAATTATTAACTATTGCTTACAAATATAATCTTCATTTTGTTAGTTGTCGAATGATGACTATGTTCATGATCATCAAGAGACATACTTTTATATGCTTCATTTGTTTTGTTGATAGTGCTTTCCATTTATTCAAATTAAGTTTGCCGATAAAAGAATTACTACATATTCTCAATATAAAAGATTTGTTCATTTTAATACGGAATTTCCTGTATCAACAGAATTGGAATTTTTCATTCTCATTTTTATATTGACAACGGTCAGTTAAATATTTTATTGAAGTCAGGGTTGCTACGATTTCTCTCGAACAAAATTCTGTAATTTTTCCAGGTTTTCCAGGACTTAATATATTTTTTCATACTCCATAAAAGTATGGTTTATATAAAAATAGTTATTAAATATACAAAATTTATTAAAATACAGTAAATTTTATTATTATAATAAATATATTTTTAAAATTAATTAACCTGTTTTTAATATTCTTTCGTTAATAATGAAAAAAATATTTTTTAATTTAAACTTTTTTGATAACTCTTATATTATTTTATTGACAGGAATATTTAATTAATTCAATTTAGAATATTCAATCGCTGTAATGAGCGTAACAATCCTGTGAAAATAATATATACTAACTTCTGGTATAAAAAAGTATTCATAAGCAATTCCCAATAAATATATTTAATAAAATATATATTTATTCTCATTTCTAATAAAGTAGGTACAAAAACTAAGTTGTGATAAACTATTATATTTATACAATACGTATAATAATTTATCACAATTTATTTTTCAAAGGAAAAAATAAATCCCCATTATTTAACACATTTAGACAAAATCTAATTTGTATAAACTTTTTGTATAATATACATAAACAGATAAAATGCAATTTAAAATTAATACTTAGCAGTCGTTTATAAATTACGTCACTCTTTAAGTGGGAGTTCAGTCAATTTATAACAACCAGCAGAAAAAATGGCACAAATGTACGTAAAATTATGTAACATGAGGAAGTAAGAGTCAAAAAAAGTAAAAAAATTTGTGACGTAATTTATTATTAAATTAATAAATTAATTAATTAAAATCATTTTTGATAAATTATTATAAACATATTGTGAATTTATTGTAATTAATTATATTATTGTTAATAAAAATCATCATTGTTGAAATGAAAAATAATAATTCTTAAATTATTTGTTGATTTTTCAGCTAATTACTAAGAAGAAGAGGTGTTGAAAATAACTCTATATGGACATCGGAAAGAAATTCACAATCAATTATTAATAAAAGTTGGAATATTGGTCATCGGAGAATTCAAATTTAAATGGGGCGCGCGGCATTTCCAGGAGAGTAATATTATTAGCCAATCAGTGTTTGGCGTCCTGCGTTTCACCCCCACCAGCGTCGCGCGCCACTTCCAACAAGGAGGAATTATTTTCAACCAATCAACGCCCGGCGTTTATAGTGGTAGGAGCGCCCCACCACTTCCAGCGTCACTTTTCGATTCTTCACGCATTTAGTCCGCCATGAGCCACGTGCCGAGGAAGATGTCCTGAACTTTGGTGAGTTTTTCTCTTTTACTGAACCCTAATACCACCTCCCTTTCCAGGAAGTTAACCAGGTAAAGTTCCATACTTAATCTGTTAACTTCCAGTTAAATTCCATGCATGTCTAAATATTTCCCTTCTTTTTCTTTCCTTTGTTAACTTTCTAGTATTTATCAATTATTTACTAGAAAAATACAAAGGATTTTTTTGTGAAATATTAAAGTCTAAGATTTAAAGATTGTGGTTTTAAATTTTTTTTATAAAACTGTAACTGGCACATGGCTATCAGCCTCGAGTTAATTTTGAAAAAATTATGTTAGCAA